CTCTTCAAAAGGGTAAAACTGCTTTTTTAATTAGAAGTCCAAACTATACAGCAGCGGACAGGGAAGCCTGTCAGGACGGGCAGGTGGGAAGGGGTGGGCAGTGGCCCAGCACCTCCATTCTCTTCCACCTCAAGTGTCTTGGAGGCACTTCCATTGCTTTGCAGAGCAATTGTTAGCTAACCGCTTGGCCCTCTCTTTGAGGTTCTCTGGCTCTCTCTTTCCACAGAACACACTTTGGAAGGCCTAAAGATACTCCCCAGGGAGCCCTGGTGGTATAAAAGGTTACAGAGACGGGTTGCTAACCACAGCGTAAGCAGTTCAAAACTACCAACCAGTCTGCAGGAGAAAGAGAAGGCTTTCTACTCCTGTAAAGATTTATCGTCTCGGAAACCCACAGGGGCACTTCTACTCGATGGCAGTGAATGAGAAATACACTCCCCGAAAGAAATAAAACACTTCATCCTGTTGTAAGATTTATTTTTAATTAAAAAATAAAGGTTTTCTTAACATATTGCATTGCAGCTTCAGGGTTGGCAATTTCGTGAAGCAAGAAAAATAAGGCTTTTTCTGTTCTTGGGTCACCTGACCACCTTATAGTGGATACAAAGGCACACGTGTCTGTAAACAAGCACAAGCTTCATCCAGAAACAACTCTAACAACTCAGGACCCCATTCCCCCCAGTTCATTTTGCCCACCCTCTTCAACTCCCCTGCTCGTCCTCCCCCCCAAAAAAACAACCAAAACGTTAAATTCTCTTGTAAAACTACAGAAATAAGTGCGGAGTCAGCAAGGATCCAGGGCCTGCTGTCCACATCTCTCTGCCGCTCAGGGCCAGCAAAGTAAGGAGCCAGAGCAATCTCTACTGTGACCAGCTGTTGGGTGGAGAGCCCCTCCACCAGCTCTCCGCCTGGGACAGGCAGTTCCAGGAGCTGCCTCCTTGAATCAAGGGCTAAAGCGGCCTCTCTGTAGAAGAAAGGCCTGAGATGAGCAAGTCACCATCAGCAATGCTTGCGATGAAAACACCACTGAGAGCTTTGGGAGGGAGAAGACAGGGATCTCTTCTCCCCACGTTTACCAAGCTGTATAGTCTTTCCGAAGCTTTTCCCTCCCTAACTTCCCTGTCTTCTCTCTTTTCCCTTCTTCCCAATCTCCCCCTCCCCACCCAAAGGGTTTTATTTTAGCTTGATGGTGGGGGTTCCGAAGAGGTTATTGGCAACTCCTGGGGCTGGCCTGGGGGCTCTGCCACCTCTAAGGCGACATGACGGGCCTTTGGTTCCTCTGGGTCATGGGGCACTTCGTGCCTCTGAGGGAGCTCTGGGCATTGCTGGCTCTGGGCCTGGCTGTTCATCTTCTCTTCAGCTTCAATCTCTTCCGACGTGGGGATGGAGTTCTTCTTAGGGCGACCTTTGGGTTTTGTGGGAGCTTCCTGTCCACCTTTAAGGACCTACAAGGGAGAATAAAGAGTTATTAAATTTATAAAATAGTCTTCCCTCCACTTTCCAGCATCCCAATAAAAACCCACCTCTAATAAAAATAATTCCCTCTCAGGAGTGAAGTCACAGGGTTTGGGAAGAAAAGAAAGTATGCCCAAACTCGGCGGCACTTCCACCATCCGGAGACCTCTCCATTGAACCCTGGCTTGGTCCAGCGAACGTTCCTTGGACTTGAACTGCTGACCTTGTAGTCAGTAGCCCAACACTCGACCAACTAAAATCAATCAGGGGTATGGAACATTCTGGCTACTTACATGTCTCGCTTAAATCATGTCTTTTCCATTTAAACATAAACTTCCTGCAGGCAAACCAGGCTTCCTCAGCTGCTTTGATGCGGGGCTCCTAATGCACTCACTAAATGCATGACTACATCCCTTTTCTTTAAAAGCAACTGAGGATCTCACCAAGCGCTCAGTTAGGGATGAGCGTAGTCACCCACCAAACCACAGAGTTCTTTTAT